TTCCCTATCCAATCAACCAATTCTTCCATCTCTTTATCTAACCCATCCACCCACCCACCCTACCTTACCCACCCACTTACGTAACCCACCTCCTACACTAACCCACCTCCCTATCCTACCCACCTCTGACCCACCCAATCACCAATCGACCCAAATCTTTCACCCACTCACCCACACTCCACCCACCCAACCCAACTTAAATCGTCTCTGCATCCTTTTCCTTCAACTGGAAAAGGTCATTTGAGCGGGTGGAAGGGAGAGAAAGGGTGGGAGGGAGGGGAACAGAGTCATGCCCCAGAGATGAGTACCTAAGTAAGTGAGAGAGAATGAGAGTGAAAGGCTCTCACACACACTGTCTGTCCGTCTGTCTATCTGTGTATGTACAGAGAGAGAGAGAGAGAGAGAGAGAGAGAGAGAAGAGAAGAAGAGAGAGAGAGAGAGAGAGAGAGAGAGAGAGAGAGGAGGAGGAGGTGGGGTGGGGAGCAGAGGTCACCACCATTACTACCAGGCCCTGTGGTGCACCAGCTGGACCGTGAGGCTGCAGTTAGTCAGTAATACTTTCAGATGTAACAATTCACCTTTAATCAGCAGAGAAGTATTGTGAGTGTAACCTAAACTAAACTGACCTAACTAACCTAACCTAACCTAACATGACCTAATTTAACCCTAACCTAACCTAATTTAACCTAACCAAATCTAACCTTATCTGACTTCTTCTAACCTAACCTGCTCTGTGTGTGTGTGTGTCTGTGTGTGTGTGTGTGTCTGTGTGTGTGTGTGTGTGTGTGTGTGTGTGTGTGTGTGTGTGTGTGTGTGTGTGTGTGTGTGTGTGTGTGTGTTTAAACCTCACAATACATTAAAAGCTCAAGAAAATAAACTAAAATGGAAAACAATGAAACGTGAATTGCGACTCTCCCCACCCCTTCCCTCCCTCCCACCCCTTCCCCACCCCACCCCTTCCCTCTCCTCCCACCCCTTCCCTCCTCCCCACCCCTTCCCTCCCTCCACCCTTCCCTCCCTCCACCTCCTTCCCTCCTCCCCCCTTCCGTCCCTCCCCACCTTCCGTCCTCCCCTCCTTCCGTCCCTCCCACCCTTCCCTCTCTCACCACAACCTTTTCTTAGTGTTAAGTTGAAGTTAACCTGAAGAATTAACCACCCACCCCCAAGAAGTCACACCTCTATTAACTCTTTCAGTGGTCATATTAACTTAGGGTTTGGTTTGGTAGGTTAGGTTGGTTAGGATAGGTTAGGTTAGTGTGGTTACCGAGAGACTATTTTATTCACCACAGTCTACCTTACAAATAACTCAAAGAAAATGTTTAGAAAATTATCTTACAAAATATCTGATAACAATAGAAATAATAAACAATAAAAGTTAATATTTCACGGAAGGTTAATTTGGTTCCACGGTAACAAAGATAATGAAACAAAATGAAACATAAAATAAATGACGAAGTTTCCACAATGGACATGACCTTGGTTGGGGGTGTTAGATGTGTGTTAACGAGGGTAAGGTATATAAGGTTTAATTTAGCGTGATAGTTGAGTAGTTTGACCGTTTCGTTTAGGGCAGTGGTTCTCAACCTTGTTTGCCCCATGCACCCTTTCACCATATGTCAGAATGTCATTCCCCCTCCTTTCCAAGATTGCTCGCCTCAAAAGTGCACTCCAAATAATATGCATATAATACTGAAAATCCTTTTTATTTTTTCCATATTAGTACATATACATTTTACAATTTTACATGGATTATTTTATAGTGGAGTTTTACAAATTAAATGCCAATTGAAAATGTTGATGGATTTATAAAACTTGAATAAAAGTAAAATAGTTTTTTTTTATAATGAATTACTTAACAGACCAAACTGAAGCATAATGCAATAAACAAAAAGTTTAATAGAATACCAGGATATTGTAAATTTGTAATTAATTTTATTCAGATGAAGATTACAGTCGATGAGAAACCTGTGATTGTTTTTCTTCGCCAATTCTGGGATACGCGGAGGAGTGCTTGAAAGGGCACAACGCAGGTCATTTCTACCTTTATCTACTACGTTGCTTGTTTTAATTTGCAACAGAGTTGAAAAGCCTGACTCACAAAGATATGTCGACAAACGGAAGCAACACGATTATCGAACATATCTCTTGCTCAACTGCTTTCTCCTGGTTGAGGGCATATGGTCGTGTTGAGTCCCTGATAGGTTAGGTTAGGTTAGGGTTTTGGTTAGGTTACGTGCGAATTATAATATCCCACACCCAACACACTTTCATCCACACGACACGGACCAACATTCACTCAGAGACATTTATCATTCATTCCCTCACGCCTGTGTCAACCACCACCACCATGTAACCTCGAAACAAAACGCCATAATCGACGACATTCTGCACCACAATGCTCGTGTAATGGTGCTGTGTGTGTGTGTGTGTGTGTGTGTGTGTGTGTGTGTGTGTGTGTGTGTGTGTGTGTGTGTGTGTGTGTGTGTGTGTGTGTGTGTGTGTGTGTGTGTGTGTGTGTGTGTGTGTGTGTGTGTGTTTGGGTGTTTATTTTGATATGTTTGTGTTTACTTATTCATCTATCTATCTATCACATCTACTCCCTCATAACCTCGTTTCCCTCTCTTCCTCCCCTTCCTCCTCCTCCTCCTTCCCTTCCTCCTCCTCCTCCTCCTCCCTTCCTCCTCCTCCTCACCCCCTTTCCTCCTCCTCACCCCTTCCTCCTTTCCCTTCTCCTCCTCTTTTTCCTCCCCTTCCTTTCCTGACCATCTCAATGATACACCTTGCGCAGTAAACACACCCTTGACCACACTATGGCCAGACTACCCTTGACCACACACACCCCTTGACCACACTACTATAAGGAGGCGCCCTGACCACACACACCACACCCTCTCATCCCTACCACACCCTCCACAACCACCACCTCCCCACGAGCGGCACATGAAACAAAGGCGTACCTTTCCACACACACACACACACACACACACACACACACACACACACACACACACACACACACACACACACACAACACACACACACACACACACACACACACACACACACACACACACACGCGCGCGAACTACATACCAACAGGTCCCCCTAAGAGTGAAAGTCAACAAAGGTCATATTAACACACTTGGAAAAATCATAAATGGAAGAAAGATTTGAGATGAATTACCCAGTTCGAGGTTGACGTAATTTGACCACACGAGAACTTAACAATAGCTGCTCTGATGATGTGTTTTAAAAGATACCAGTGGTGGGTTAGTTTGTCTGTGTCTCTGTTTGTCTGTCTGTCTGTCTGTCTGTCTATTTATGTCTGTCTGTCTGTCTGTCTGTCTGTCTGCTTGTCTGTCTGTTTGTCTGTCTGCTTGTATGTCTGTCTGCTTGTATGTCTGTCTGTCTGTCTGTCTGTGTCTGTCTGTTTGTCTGGTTTGTCTGTCTGTCTGTTTGTCTGTCTGTCTGTTTGTCTGTTTGTCTGTCTGTCTGTTTGTCTGTCTGCTTGTCTGTCTGTCTGTTTGTTCGTCTGTCTGTTTGTCTGTTTGTCTGTCGTTCTTCTGTCTGGTTAATGTTCGTCTGTCTGTCTGTTTGTCTGTCTGTTTGTCTGTCTGTTCGTTTGTCTGTCTGTCTGTCTGCCTGTTTGTCTGTTTGTCTGTTCGTTTGTTCGTTCGTTTGTATGTGTTCGTTTGTTCGTCTGTTCGTTCGTCTGTCTGTCTGTTCGTTCGTTTTGTCTGTCTGTCTTGCCTACAATGTTCGTCTGTTTGTCTGTCTGTCTGTTTGTTCGTTCGTCTGTCTGTTTGTCTGTCTGCTTGTATGTCTGTCTGTCTGTCTGTCTGTCTGTCTCTGCCTGTCTGCTTCAGCGTCTGTCTGTCTGTCTGCTTAGGCGTCTGTCTGTCTGTCTGTCTGTCTGTCTGTCTGCTTGTATGTCTGTCTGCTGTCTGCCTGTCGTCTGTCTGGTCTGTCTGTCTGTCGCTTGTATGTCTGTCTGTCTGTCTGTCTGTCTGTCTGCTGTATGTCTGTCTGTCTGTCTGTCTGTTCTTCACCTATCTCATGCTCTTACTCCTCCTCCTTCTCCCATTTTATTTCCTCATTCTCACTCACTTCCTCCTCTTTCTCCTCCGTAACCATTATCTCCTCCTCCCTCCTCTTCTCTTCCTTCACACCCTCCCTCACCCACCCCTCTCTTCTCCCTCACCCACCCCACCCTCACCTCACCCCTTCTCCCTCACCCACCCCACCCACACCCACCCCACCCTCACCCACCCCTCCCACACTCCACCCTCTTCTCCCTCACCCACCCCTCTTCTCCCTCACCCACCTCACTTCACCCACCCCTCTTCTCTCCCTCACCCACCCCTCTTCCCTCACCCACCCCCTCTTCTCCTCATCTACTCCTTACTCCCTCACCTCACTCCTCCCACACCCAATCTTTCTCCTCACCATTCCCCACCCCCTCACTCCCACCTCTCCCCTCACCCACCCCATTACACTGTCAATCAGGGCGTTGTCTACCACACCAGTCTTTGCGTGAGGTGATCCTATTTTGTCGCTGGATTAACTACTGGTGTCTCTGAGCTGTGTGTGTGTGTGTGTGTGTGTGTGTGTGTGTGTGTGTGTGTGTGTGTGTGTGTTTTAACGAAGACAAAAGGTGAAATATGAACGACCAAGAGGTTCCTAATACGAACTACTGAGGCAAACATTTATAACATTAAGTGAGACAATATGTTATTACAGGTCAGGTCATGTTAGTTTGGTACAGAAATAACTTACTTGTATATAAAAGGTAAAATGACCAAAACGCGCAATAATAATAATAAACAAAGATATATTTCTGAATATTTACTCCACTAAAATTTATCTTTACCTATGTAGATGTAATTAAGTCAAAATACCTGTGGATTATTTTTTTTTGGTGTATTAAGGAATTGAAGATAAGAAAACACCTTGATATACAGGTGAAAATTCATTAACCTATTTACCTCTCCCTTCTACAGGATGGGTTGGGTGACAAACTACAGCAGGAGTAGAATAGGAACAGGGAGTAGAAGTAAAACAAGTGAGGTAAGAGGATGCAACACCTACAAGACCCTCCTACAAGCCCTTATCTACCTCCTCCTCAGCACCTCCTTCGTCAGATCACAATGCCCGTGGCCGAGGGAGGTTACGGATCTAAATGGGTCGTGTCTCTGTGCCTTTAACCTCCAGAACGAGCTGTCTATTCAGTGTTCGGCTGTTAACTTCACCCTCCTGATGACTGTCCTACACCAGAGGGCTTCCAGTGTACCTCTTGACCTTCTCTACGTCAACAACACCCGCGTTAGTGTCCTTAATGACCGTACCTTTGATGGTCTAATTATTGAGAATATACAGGTGAGTCCAGGTTGGTTTTGGGTTGGGTTCATATATGGTGTGTGGTGGTGTGTTGTGATGTGTTATGGTGTATTGTAGTGTTATGGTGTGTAGTGATGTGTTATGAGTACAGTGAGGGAAGATGGTGAAGTTTAAGGAAGGGAGAGAGAGAGAGAGAGAGAGAGAGAGAGAGAGAGAGAGAGAGAGAGAGAGAGAGAGAGAGCTTAAACGAACGGAACGTAATGATTTCCTGTTCTTTGATAAATGAATCTGTGTATGTATGTATAAAGATCGATCACACACACACACACACACACACACACACACACACAGCCTTTTGTTGACTGAGCAGCCAAATGGGAGTGTTGTCAGGTGGATAGGTGGGTGAGGGGGCCAGGGGGAGAGGGTAGAGGGAGAGAGTGGTAGGAGGGGGAGAGAGGAGGGAGGGAAGTGAACCGCTATACTATTAAGAATGCAGAGGCTTGTTGTGGGCGTCATGCTGGTCACCTTCTGTAGCAGCTGTGATAATCTTTGATTGAGTTTGTTGAGCTGTCGAACCTCTTCCTCTTCCTAGTAGGGTAGTGAGGGTGGGGAAGGGAGGGAGGGGTGAAATGTTCGTCTAACTTCTGTGTTTTGTTTATTTACGGAAGGTGTGTGTGTGTGTGTGTGAAGATAAAGAATAAATTAAAGAGAACAGGATATAAGTAATTCCTCTTATATAACCGTCCGCTATCATCACTGTATATTCTCTCTCTTGTTCTCAACATCATTTCTCTCTCTCTCTCTCTCTCTCCTCGTTCTCAACAATTCATTTCTCTCTCTCTCTGTTCCTCAACACCATTTCTCTCTCTCTCTCTCTCTCTCTCTCTCTCTTCTGTTCTCACCACACCGTTTCTCTCTCTCTCTCTCTCTCTGTTTTCAACACTATTTCACTCTCGTTCTCAACACCATTTCACTCACTCTCTCTCTTTCTCAACAGTTCTCATCAGCATCTCACCATCTCTTATCTCCCCCCACAACAGTTCTCAGCGTGCGGTATATTTAACATCAGCAGGGGAGCATTCAGAGGCCTAGAGAACACTTTAGTCAACCTCAACCTGCAGGACAACAGGCTGGCGACCGTCCCTACAGCAGCTCTCGCCAGACTCACCAGACTCAAGCTCCTCGATCTGTCAGGCAATCAGATCACCTCTGTTCCTGACGAGGCATTTGACGGCCTTACACTCTCCACGCTTAAGGTAATGTTGTACTGTGTGTTTGATGGTGTTTGTGTGTGTTTGTGTGTTTGTATAGGTATATGTGTTTGGGTCTATGTCTGACTATACGTTATAGGCAATTATGTTTTTTCAGTGTTTGTTTCTGTCTATCTGTCTACTTAATCTGTTTATTTGTGTATGTTTATCTCTGTGTCTGTCTATGTTTCTGTTAGTGTAATTCTGTCTATCTGTCTGTCTGTGTGTTTATAAAATCCATTTCTCAATATTTCTGTCAGTGTGTCTGTCTTAAACCCCCTCCACCCTCTGTCTCTCTACAGCTGGCGGACAACGAACTGTCTCTGTCAGATCGCTCCTTCGCCGGGTTGGAGAGCAGCCTGAAGAACTTAAACCTGAAGGGCACCAGCCTCCGATCGGTGCCTCCCGCCCTCAGGAACCTCCCCGTACTTGCTTTCCTCGATATTGCTCAGAACCAAATACGGAGCCTGGAGAGAGGTAAGTGTCGTGTGTGTGTGTGTGTGTGTGTGTGTGTGTGTGTGTGTGTGTGTAAATAACAATCATAATAATACTCATAATAATAATAAACGGTTTATTAATAGAGTTGCAGTCGGTGGCTGAAAATATACAGACTTACATTTGATTTAGACAACATGTGTTGAATACATTTACAGGGCTGTACAGTACATAAATCAGGAGTTGTTTATTATTTTAACAATAGATGGGAAGGTGCTTTTCTTATATCTATCGGTGCGGGCTCTTATGGGCTGAATTTTGTTATAGTGGCGGACTGCGTGAGGTGGTTGGGGGGCTGACGGTGGCAGGAGGTGGCGATGACGAGGGTGGTGCATTAGTTGGCTGCCAAACCTTTCCAGTGCTTGGTGGTGGAAGTCACTGAGGGATGTCATTTCCAGGGTGGAGAGAGCGTTGATGTAGCCGGAGTATTCTGCGCCGAGCATGATTCTGCAGGCCCTTTTCTGTGTGTGTGTGTGTGATATACCTTCCTCGTCACCTATATCACTCTCTAAAAGGCACAAATAACACCCATATCACGATTAACAATAACAACACCTCCGCCATTTCACACTCTGACGATTAAAGAAAACGTGAATCATATCCATCATAGAAAACGTGACCTGAATCCCTTCGTCATCCAATGTTCTCATCTCTTAATATCTCAGATTAGCCACCATCTCTCTCCACCCTCTATAACTCAAGCCTAGAGGTATAACTGGTACTCATGGAGGCATAAAATGACTCATGAATCAAATAACTCACTGAAGCGTTGAGCACTATACTGTTAGGATATGAACAATAAGGGGTGACTCTCACATTCCACGTCTCGGAAGATTGGGTCTTTGAGAGGAACAGTTTTCTCTTCATTTCACTAGACATTATTCTACCTAAGATTCACTCATGTCACAGCATTAAGATGAAGCAATGAGAGCGGATTTAATATTTGTCTGTTTAGGTTAGGTTAGGTTTAGGAAGTTACCACCAATTTAACATTATCCCATCCTATTACAAGAGTTAACACCAATAATCCTAACATCCTTCTCTCCTTCATCCACACAGGCGCCCTTAGGAACCTTCACTCCCTGACGGCGCTGAATATCGAGAGGAACCTTCTTCAGGCCCTGGAGGTGGAGGACTTCATTGGCATCAACGACACCCTCAGTTCTCTCTCCATGCTTAACAACCTCATCACTGACTTCCCTAGAGACGCCCTTAACACCCTGGAGGAGCTGAGGGTGAGTACTACTGACAGTGTGCTAGGAGGGGTAGTGGTGGGAGTAGGGGGAGTGGTTAGTGGTAGGAGGAGGGTGGTTGGTGGTAGTGGTGGTAGGAGGGATAGTGATTAATAATAACGGTAGCGGAAGAAATGGTTGTTATTATTGTTGGTGATGGTGGTGATGATAGTGTTGGAGAAAGAAGAACGTACCAGACAAGAGATACTCCACCACATTCACCAACACTACATTCACCAACACCACATTCACCAACACTCCTACGTCACATAACCCAGCTGTAAACAAACCAAACACCACTATAAACAAATATGTAATATACCTTCCTATTGTGGTATGAGAAAGACTGTATACATAAGACTGTTAACTGGATCCATAGCTCCTGTTAACAGTGAGCGGGTGTTCAAAGTGTTACTCCTGGTATTAAGTGTCAAGAACCTCCCTGTTCATATTTGTTCACCTGCCACACGAGGAATGAATCACCCATCACATTGAACCAAAAGGCGGAAGTGATTGATCGGACGGACGGACGGACGGACGGACGGACGGACGGAAAGACCTCTCACGTTAATTACCAAACACTCACCTGGTGGGAAGGGGGAGGGGGATGAGAAGAGGGAGGTTGGGGGGGGGGGAGAACACCTGGAGGCAATTTGGTAAAAACCTACGTGTATGCGGGTGTGGCGTGCTATGATTGGTCGTTGGTATTTATTTACGATGTCAGCTATCTATCCAGTTTAGGTTAGGTTAGGTTAGGAAGGTCTAATTCTCTACATCAGGAGGGAGAAAGAGTTGAAGGAAACGGACCAATCAGCGAACGTCATGCCCGCATATGTGTGGTTTCTGCCAAAGAACTTCCGGGAGGAGGCTGGGAGGAGAGTGTGGGATGTTCTCACCCGTAACGAGTCTAACTTCTGCAGGTAGGTGGTGGGAAGGTCGCTCTTGTTGACGTGAGGGAGGAGGTGGAGGAGGAGGATGAGAAGAGTGAGGAGGAGAAGAAGAGGAGGAGAAGAAGAGGAGGAGGAGGAGGAGGAGAAGAAGAGGAGGCGGAGGAGGAGAAAAAATGAGAGGGGGAAGAAGAGAAGGAAACAACATAATAAAGATGGCGTTTAGGAGGGTGTAAAGGAATGGACGAGTTGACGGTCGGAATTTGTTCGTAAGATGGCAGGTCAATGGGTGAAGAAAACGTTTAAATTCACTATGGTAATGATATTGTTAAATAAATTCGGCCAAAAAATGTAAAAAAAATAAGGCTTAAACTGGCTAGAAAGTCACGTGCCTGCGAAAAGCTCTGTGATTGGTTGTGACGTCACATGCTGGCTGCCAAAATGGTGAAAAAAACCGATAACTCCAACATGGAAGTTTTCATCACTGTTCTCTATTTCATGTCTGGAAATGTAAGTTTTCGTCACTGATGTCTGTATTTAATGATGTGGAAGGACTAGGGACGGCCATGGCCAAGGGATGATCAGATGACAGATGTTATTTAACGTGCTTCACAACTGGATGGCGGAGTTCTTGATAATACTCTACAATCACAAACACATCTACTTTTGGTCAATTTCTTTCATCTGCCTTGATGAACCCTGGAAGTACAGTAGTTGTCCAACCTTATCGGCTGATCGGCTCTGTAAATAAATATTATTAGATAATTAATTGCGATTTACTGTGCAACATACTAATGCTTTTTTTAATATATAAATATTACTAAGCACATTAACTAATTCAATGGATATTAGCTGCCCGTTCTACAAATTTCATAGTATAAACATTACAAACAATATTGGTATTATTTTGGTTTTGGTCATGTGGGGAACCTTAAGAATCTAACTATGAGATTAAGTACTTCAAACAACTTTCGATCGCATAAGAAAATACAGATCATAGGTTAGGTTAGGTTAGGTTAGGTTAGGTTAGGTTATGATGAGTTATAAGGTTAGCTTAATATACATTAGTAAGGGGGGGGTAGTAACTCAAAACTAGTGATTTCCGATAAAATTGAAGGTTTAAATCGTTCATAACACATCGCAAACCACCAGGAAGAAAACGAAACATCAGAACAAGAACATAGTCTGCGTGTGTAAGTACAGGGATGACCCAAACTTATAATATACCCAATATAACCTGTCTCGAACCTAAACATCCAAATACTTATGGTAGTTAAAGTAAAATTTTACCCATTAATTAATATAAATGATGATATATCCCAGTGGTTCATTAGTGAATCATCAAAACAATAACAGCACTATGTTGTAATGTTTACCTAACACCAGGCATTCTCAAAACAAAGTCCAGACAATGTTATTACTTCTAAAGTGACTCGTATCTCCATCTAGTACTGATATACTCTGTAATTGCACTGAAAAAATGAAAAACTCTACCGTCCATAAGCTGCTCTTCGTGGCACATTTCTTCACATACGAAATGTCCATGATTCAGACCATAAGAACACCCTTAAAACTTATATGAACGTGGCATTTGGAGTCTGAGGAGGCCATCCTTTGTACGACCTCCAACTGCAGCGGTGAGTTTGTTGGAGAACGTCGTCTTCGGGGAAACTGGTGACGTGCGGCCCTGTTTCTAGACATAAACTTATCTCGACTATTATAGCAGGACTTTAAACACATTATATATACCGAATCACTCGACGAACGTGACAGAGTGTATTTATTGTGTTTACTCAGAACCGACAACTCCTCCATTGAATACAGTATGTGTGTGTGTATAATTTTTGGTGTATGGATAGTGTATGTGCTTGTGTGTGTATATTTGTGGTTATTTTATGTATGTATGAATGTGAGTGTGTCAGTCCTGTGGTGTAGCCATGTGTACCTCAGTAATAGTCATCGCAGTATACCGCTATACTCTCTGGGTCACCTTCCCTCATCTGCAAGTCAAACGGATGTGAGATGTCACTAAATTCACGAACCATCTTATTCAAGCAGTGTATAACATTAACATCACTACGGAAGGGCAGCAACGATTCGTACCCTCGTGCAATACTGTGGAATGGTTTTGTCCTATTTAAAGCGGCATAACTCATGAACATAATACCATGGTAAGCACAAGTATTATATCCTGGTGACTGGTTAATCCCATACACCACACTCAGTTGTTGTCGGCTGACGCTATACTTATTAAGATAGTCGACGAACATAGGACTGACAACATTGGTCTAGGAGTCATAGTAAACATAGCCTCCGTCATCAGCCCGATATACTGATACCAAATGATACATAGTCTTTCTAGGTAGCATTAAGAACATAGCCTACCCGGGAGGCAGTGGTGGGAGGGAGAGCAAATTTCGTCTTCCTTCAACTAGGCGACTTTTCACCATTCCCAAGGGCTTCTTTACCCTGTGCAGCCCTTTAAAAATCTCCTACAAATCGTCCACAGTTATGGTACGATTAGTTGCCATTATTTCTGGTGTTTCAGTTTTGCTCGACTAAAGGAACAGGTTTATAGGTTTTATGGTGAGGGAAAATATAATAATAGGTTATGTCTAGATGTATGATGTGTTATTGAACGGTTTATAGTGACGTAGTGTAGTGTAGTGTTGGCGTAGTGTAGTGATGGTGTGGTGTAGTGATTGTGTAGTGTAGTGTTGCTGTAGTGTAGTGTTGATGTAGTGTAGTGTTGCTGTAGTGTAGTGATGGTGTTGTGTAGTGTTTATGTAGTGTAGTGTTGTGTATTGTAGTGATGATGTAGTGTAGTGATGGTATGGTGTAGTGTTGGTGTAGTGTAGTGTTGTGTAGTGTAGTTATGGTGCTGTGTAGTGTTGATGCAGTGTTATGTTGTTGTAGTGCAGTGATGGTGCTGTGTAAATGTTGATGTAGTGTATTGCTGCAGTGTAGTTATGTTGCAGTGCTGATGATGGTGTTACGTAGTGCTGATGGGTTTATGTTGATGTAGTGTTGATGTTATGTAGTGTTGCTGTAGTGTAGTGATGGTGTTGTGTTGATATAGTTAGTGTTGCTGTAGTGTAGTGTTGATGTAGTTTAGTGTTGATGTTGTGTAGTGTTGCTGTAGTGTAGTGATGGTGTTGCGTAGTGTTGATGTAGTGTAGTGATGGTGTTGTGTAGTGTTGATATAGTTAGTGTTGCTGTAGTGTAGTGTTGATGTAGTTTAGTGTTGATGTTGTGTAGTGTTGCTGTAGTGTAGTGATGGTGTTGCATAGTGTTGATGTAGTGTAGTGATGGTGTTGTGTAGTGTTGATATAGTTAGTGTTGCTTTTAGTGCAGTGTTGATGTGTTTAGTGTTGATATAGTGTTGCTGAGTAGTGATGGAAAGGTAGTACATGGTGGTGATGAAAGGTAGTGTTGATATAGTTAGTGTTGTAGTAGTGTTGATGAAGTTTAGTGTTGATAAGGTAGTGTTGCTAAGAAAGGAAAAGTTGATGTAGTTTAGTGTTGATGTAGTGTAGTGTTGCTGTAGTGTAGTGATGGTGTTGTGTAGTGTTGATATATTTAGTGTTGGTGTAGTGTAGTGTAGTGTTGATGTGCTACACTACACTAAATCAACACTACACATACAATCACTACAACATAAAAAATATACATCATCACTACACTCACCACATCATCTTCACTACACACACACACCATAACAACACAATAAGCCAAAACCTTTTATTGCATTTTAACTTCACTATGAAAAAAAATCGTCTCCATGGTCATATTTCTTACGTCATTATCACACACACACACACACACACTAATATGCCAGAGAGTTAAGTAAATAAATTTCTCTTTACAACACATACAGTGAAACCTCCATATAACGGACAACTCTCCCCATAATAATCCGTTAATTAGAGGGTTTCACATCAAACGGACCTTCAATGTAACGGACTTTCCTCGCCATAGTTCACTAAATGGAGTTTCATATCTAACGAACCCTCGATATAACGGATTTCTACCCCGCTAATTTTTTTCTCCTCTTCCTCTTCCCTTCATCATCTTCATTCCCTCCTCCTCCTCGACTTTACTTTTCCCTTTTCTCTCTCCTCCTCTCCTCCCC